TTGTTCCTTATGCACCAGTTCCAACACCATATCGCTTCTGTGCATAGGGAATGTGACCTCGCTCCACCTTGTCTGTTTAGGTAGTACATCACTGCCATGTTGTCCATAAACACTCTGACTGTCTTGCCCTTCAGGTGAGTATGGAAGTGCTTGCATGCCAGGAATATTGCACGCAACTCCAGTCTGTTGATATGTAGACGCCTCTCGGCAGGAGACCAGCGACCTTGTATGCGTTCGTCGCCCATGTGCGCACCCCATCCGATGAGGGAGGCGTCTGACGTCAGCTGTACCGATGGAATCGGTCTGTGGAAAGGCATTCCCACCAAAATGTTTGATTCCTTGGTCCACCAGTGCAGAGACACGTGAACGTGGAGCGGAGGAGAAACTTGTTTGTGAATGTCGTGTCTTCCCGGAACATACACAGTTGACAGCCAGTGTTGCAGGTTTCTGAGGTGGAGGCATGCATTGGGAACGACAAACGTGGCTGCAGCCGTGTGGCCCAGGAGACGCAGACAGGTATGTACTGAGACTACTGGGCCCTTGCCGAGTAGACTGACCAAGTCCTTTATTGCCTGGAATCTGTCCTTCGGTAAATAGGCTCTTGCCATCCTTGAGTCGAGAACTGCCCCTATGAACTGTATGTTCTGCGTTGGAGTGAGGGTCGATTTCGACTCGTTTACAATCAGTCCAAGAGAGTCGAACACTCGTCTGACCGTTGTGACCATGAGGGATGTTTCTTCCTGAGAGGTACCTTTTATCAAACAGTCGTCCAGGTAAGGGAATATGATGACTCGCAGTCACCGGAGATGCGCAGCAACGAAGGCGAGGGTCTTTGAAAATACCCGTGGAGCAGAAGCCAGTCCGAATGGGAGGACAAGATATTGGAAATGCTTGTCCTTTATGACGAAACGCAGGAATCGTCTGTGTGCAGGATGTATTGCTATATGAAAATACGCATCCTGTAGGTCGAGGGCCGCGAACCAATCGTTGTTGTCCAGAGCTGGAATGATCGTAGTGAGCGTCACCATTTTGGATCGCTGTTTTCGAAAGTAGCGATTCAACTGGCGCAGATCCAGAATAGGTCTCCATCCCCCCGTTTTCTTTTGCGTTAGGAAATAACGTGAATAGAACCCTTTTCCTCTGAAGCCCTCTGGGACCTTCTCTATCGCTCCGATGGATACTAGGCGATAAGCCTCTTGTTGCAGAAGATCCTCATGAGATGGGTCCCTGAAAAGGGACGGGGATGGTGGGGTGGTAGGAGGGAGGGATGTGAATGGGATGGTGAGACCAGATCTTATCACCTCCAATACCCATTTGTCTGACGTTACAGCAACCCATTGATGGTAATAGGGTTGCAGTCTGTGATGAAAAATGGGCTTGGCATCTCTGGTAACGACTGGAGTGTTCAGCACGCCCTCGAGATGGAAGTCAAACCTGCTGTTTGGGCGCCCCGGCATTGTTCACTCTAGCCGGGTGAGGACGTCTGCGCTGTGGCCTCTGCTTAGAATGACCTTTATCATAAGGACGGTTTTGTTGTCTCCGGAATTGATAGTCATAACGTTTTTGGAATGGAAAATATCGTCTGCGGCGGAAAAGTGGGACGTACATTCCGAGAGTACGTAAGGTTGTTCGCGAGTCCTTCCCTGTATGGAGTACGTCATACGTTTTTTCCGCGAAAAGCTTAATCCTATCAAATGGGAGATCCTCCACCTTGGATTGTAGTTCTCTGGGTACTGCAGCCGTTGTTAGCCATGAGGCCCTTCACATGGATACTGCCGTAGCTACTGTTCGCGCCGCTGTGTCAGCCATGTCACTGGCAATCTGCAGACCTGCTCTGGCACACGCATAGCCCTCTTGAATTATCTCACGGAGGAGAACCCTATCGGCCTCGGAGATTCGTTGTGCAATTTCCGTCAATCTTGCAATGTTATCGAAGCTATGATTGGACAAGAGCGCCGCATAATTAGCGATATGCAGGAGAAGCGTGGATGAAGAATCCACTTTCCGTCCAAAGATGTCTAGCTTTTTTGCATCCTTGTCAGCTGCTGAATTTCTGACCTGTGGGCTCTTTGCTCTCTGCAAGGCTGCGTCCACCATCAGTGAATTGGGCTGGGAGTGAGTGAACAGGAACTCTGCCCCTTTGGCTGCTATGAAATATCTTTTCTCAGCCCTTTTACACGATGGGGTAACTGAAGCTGGCGTGTTCCAGATCTCTGAAGCCGACTCTAGAATTGCCTCGTCTAGCAGGAAGGCCGCTCTGGACTGATGCCTAGAGTGCAAGTTCTTCCACAACTTATGTTGTTTCACCTGCACGTCCGTTAGTTGAACTTCCTGCGACTGTGCCACCCTCTTGAATAGGTCTTGGAATTCACGGGCATCGTCCGGTGGTGAAGGATCCGCCACGAAAACTGCGTCATCTGGGGAGGATGATTGGACATCCCCAGGGGAAACTGCAGGTGTGTGCTCGCCTGTATCTGAAATTTGACCCTCCTCCGGATCAGAAAAGACTGATACTGAGGGGGCCGTGGGAAGGGGCGGCTTCGGTGACTGAGGTCTTTGATATTCTGGAGCATGTGGTGAAGATCGTCTATGATAAGGCTGATGGCAACAGCAAGAGTGGGAATGGGAGTGTGATCTGCCCTTCCTTATAGGGGCATGATAACTCCTGTAAGCATGATAATCATAGTCAGGAGATGATCGCCTTGATGCATATCTGCTGCCATGCCTGCTCCGATATGATCTGGGACGAGAGTAGGTCGGCGAGCGAGATCTATGTGGAGAGACACATCTATAGGAGTAATTCGAGCAGGAGCATCTATTAGCATTACTATATGCAGAGGAATAAGCCCCCCTGTCTGAGTGACATGCAGGTGGGGAAGGCTCAGGCGAGAAGTACGGTGAAGGCGACCTGGAATGGTTTCTAGATGCTGATTTCCTTGCTTAGTAGGAACAGCTGCCCGGGACTGCAGAGCAGCTGTCAGGTCTCCTGCTGGGTTGCCATGGTTACGCTCAGCACGCACCTGGCTGAGAATGTCTTAGAGGCAGAGAGGTTGATTGTAATCTCGGGGAGGGGTGGGAGAACTGAGCAGCTCTCGGCCCAGAGTGAATGATCTCCCCCGGCACCGAGTAAATGATCTCCCCCGGCATGGAGCGAGTGCTCTCATACGGCACCCGGGGCACTCCGGGGAAATTGCTCTCTTGCGGTGCTGTCTGCCATGTTGGCACCGTGTCTACGGCCCACGCGGTGAGCCGTGGTCTCCTGGTGCCTCTGTCTCTTCTCTGGAGCGGCCAGTGCTCGCTCCTGTGGAGGGGTCGGGGGTGCCCTCAGCGGTGCAGACTCCGGTGCCGCTCCTGACTCATCCCGCTGCTGCAGGGACGGTTCCTTGTCAGGCGGCATCGTTGGTGGCATTAGTGGCATGGCCAGCTTATCCCCCAAGGGGTTCTGGTCTGTGCATGCTCCCTATGAGTAGGGGAAGCTGCTGCAGGAGGCGAAACTGTGCGCGGCTTTGATGATTCTGCCACAAACCGGGAAAGTGATTTAGATGCCGGTCGAATGGCCACTGTTGCTGCCTCCGAGTTGTCCTGACTCACCCGCGGCAGGGGGACGGCGGGGAGAGAGTGGGCGGGAGAAGCCTTTTTCTTTTAGGCACTCCTGGTGATAGCGCCCTTCTCTTCGGAGCACTTATTTGTTCCTGTGAAGTTTGTACAGGCTGAAGAGCCTTGTCGCAGAGAAGAAGCTTGAGCCGGAGATCCCTGTCCCTGCGCGCCCGCGGGGTTAATTTCAAGCAATGAGCGCATTTTTGGGTACATGGGACTCCCCCAAACAACGGACACAGACTGTGTGACCGTCTGAGGCTGGCATAGCTTCTTTGCACCGGGAACACCGTTTGAATCCTGGTGTCCCGGGCATGATTAAATTGACTAGGCAAACTGGCAGAAATTGACTAGAACGTCTCTCTCTTTCCTTTTTCTTTTTTTTCCCCAAAACTAACTAACTAATTAACAGGAAACTAACTACTGAACAAAGACTAACTATTTTACAATTCTTTCTGACAGGATTTGCTCTGTGTCTGAGGAGATCACAAAGCTCTTGAGAGGAACTGGGGGGGGGGGGGCCGGTCTGCGCTCGTGATCAAAGGCACGAAAGCGGCGCGCTGCAGGGGGCATGTGCAGACCGCCGAAGATGGCTCTGAAATCTTCCAACCAGCAGCGCCGGGATGGACCCGACCTAGGGTACGTCTAAACTACATGGCTCTGTCGATGGAGCCATGTAGATTTGTTGTTTTGGCAAAGGCAAATGAAGCCGTGATTTAAATGATCATTTGCCTTTGCCTATGTGTCTAATCTACACGCCTCTGATGACAGAGGCATGTAGTCTAGACACAGCCCTAGAGTGGAGCACCCACAGGGCCACTCAAAGAAGAAACTAAAGTTAGTATAGAATCATAGGACTGGAAGGGACATGGAGAGGTCATTTAATCCAGTCCCCCTGCACTCATGGCAAGATTAAGCATCATCCGCATCATTTCTGACAGGTGGTGTTCATTTAACCTGCTCCTAAAAATCTCCAATAATGGAGATTCCACAATCTCCCTAGGTAATTTATTCCAGTGTTTAGCGATCCCGACAGGTGGAAAGTTTTCCTAAATCTCCCTTACTGCAATTTAAGGCCCTTGCTTCTTGTCCAATCAGAGGTTAAGAAGAATAATTCTTCTCCCTCCTCCTTGTACAACTTTTTGGTACAGTACTTGGAAACAGTTGTATCCCCTCAGTCTTCTCTTTTGCTGACTAAACAAACCCAGTTTTTTCATTCTTGTCTCATAGGTCATGTTGTCTAGACCTTTAATTATTTTTATTGTTTTCCTCTGAACTTCCTTCAATTCGTCCACATCTTTCCTAAAACATGATGTCCAGAGCTGGACACTAAACTCCAGCTGAGACTTAATTGGTGCACAGTAGAGCAGATTATT